TATCTATAACATGCTACACATCTACACGTTATGTGTGAATATATATATACATATATATATGTATATATGATAATACCTCTCTCATTCTATCCTCTCTCTCTCTCTCGCTCTTCTCTCTCCGCTCTCTCTCTTCTCGCTCTTCTCTCTCTCATCTTTCTCTCTCTCTCTCTTTCCCTTCTCTCGCTCTCTCAAGCTAGGACACACTAGCGATTCTCTACGCTGCCCGCAGCGTAATATTTTCGCTCACGATTTTTAGAATGCCGTACGAGTTGCGCGTACAGCTGGACACACACTGCGATTTTGTACGCTGGCCGTGTTACATGTACTGTAACGGGTGAAAATAAATAAAGTCAGAACAGTGTGTGTTAGGCGGGAGGTTGTACATAGAATTCAAATCAAATTTGCTAAAATTCTAACAATAGCCCATCTATAAATAATATATAAGTAATTAAGGGCTGTGTCATACTTATATGCACAACACTGCCATACGAAATCGTCAATTAAACAATGAAAATAATTCGATTTATTGAGCTATTTATACAGGGTGAAATTACCAGTCACTCTCAGTAGTTGCGCTATAGAATTTAATGCTATTTCCTTCGCAACTCGATTGCGATACTCTACAGACTGTATGTAATACAGACACGAGTTCTCTGACCATAAAATGCGCCAAATCATTCCTCCCTACTCTTGATGTGTATTAAATTGGCATGTCACCACACTAAATGTTCATGCTCTCTTGTTTTGACAGGTGATTGGATTCAGTCCGGAGGCCGTTGCATCGTTTATTGCTGTTGTCGGCATTTTATCTGTAATTGCTCAGGTATACTATATAATACAAGCACGAGCATCTATGCTCGTATTCAAAATACACTAATCTGTGCCTGTTTGTAATGTGTACGTGTCTATGCTCGTATGCAGTATATACTCGGCTATGCTTGTACACGATATGTACAAGTCTATACTTTTCAAGACATACTTTTTTTTAACTTTTACTATTTACGGTGACGTATTCACTTTAACATCAGCATCAGCGCGCGATGTCTCTACCGCGTGAGTGGCACTCCTCCGTCGTGTGTTGCAGACGGGCGTTCTAACATTCCTGATGCGAACGCTGGGAGCCAAGCACACGATCATGGTGGGACTCACGTTTCAGATGCTACAGCTGGCGTGGTACGGCTTCGGCTCACAGACGTGGTAAGTCAACGACGTTAGCGACGACGTCAGCGCGCGTTATCGCTGCTTCGTCGTAGACGAGTCAGAAAATGCCTCGTTCAAAACCTTAGCCATCTTACTGAGAGGGCATTGATTTTTTTGGTATTTGATGATTTATTTCCATAAACGAGCGGTTAGTCGGTTGCTGCAAACGAATGACTTTCGATTATAATCGATCATTGGGACATCACTAACCGTGTGTTCTGTTTTCGCAGGATGATGTGGGCAGCCGGCATGCTAGCGTCAGTAGCAAGCATCAGCTATCCAGCGATCAGTGCTTTTGTGTCCATGCACGCTGACGCTGACAAGCAGGGTAAGATGTCGAAGGCACCGCTCAAGACGTCAGCGCCCTTGAGCGACAACGAATCGAACTATTATTCAGTGTTACCTTACTTTATATTACATTTACAGGAGCTAGTTGTTGTTGTTGTTGTTGTTGTTGTTGTTGTTGTTGTTGTTGTTGTTGTTGTTGTTGTTGTTGTTGTTGTTGTTGTTGTTGTTGATGATGATGATGATGTTTATAGCTTTTGCTAGTTGTTGTTGTTGTTGTTGTTGTTGTTGTTATTGATGATGATGATGACATTTACAGGTTTTGCTAGTTATTGTTGTTGTTGTTGTTGTTGTTGTTATTGATGGCGATGATGACATTGACAGCTTTAGCTAACAGTTGTTGTTGTTGTTGACAGGTGTTGTTCAGGGCATCATCACCGGTTTGCGTGGACTGTGCAATGGCCTCGGACCGGGTCTTTACGGATGCATATTCTACCTGTTTGATGTGAACCTGTCGGACATGATAGAACTGGACACGGAAGACGCAGCCGCCGGCACCACGACCCGAGCAACGACCTCCCCCGGCTACATGCCCATGCAGCAGGTGAGGGTGGCGCCATCTAGCATGTTTCTCGCACAGTTTTCGGCCCGCGATTTTGTTTCGTCTCGCTGATTCCGTAATAGTTCGCGTGCGGCGATGCGAGACGCAGATTTCAGTGCAGCACCCGATTGCAAGTGATGCTGCTGCCCCTCTTACTTGCTGATGTTGCCCTGCTCACTTACCGCAATTGCCGTCCTCACTTTCTGTGGTTACCCTTCTTATGGAAATTGGCCGACATCTGCAGAAATACTGTATATGCTGTATATTTCGCAGGGGTTAAATTTTCGCGAATTTCGCGAATGCGTCCCCGACTGCAAAAATAATAACACGCGAATAATTCATACCGAATAATGCCGAATAATACATAATTAACCACTCGTGAAATTTTCCATCAAGGCTGAATTCGTGAAAATACCTGTACGCGAAAAATATGGCGTATACAGTAAGCGGCCGTGGTTGCCCCCACCCTGCTTGCCGTTCCCACGAATTTTCGTGCGAAGAGCGTGTGGTGTATCGGGCTGCATGCGGACAAACGGACAAATGGAGACGTGCGTTCAGGGGTAGAAATGAACTTTTGAACAAGGGAGTCCACCAGTCCAACGGACTCCCTGCCCTCAAAAAGAGGGAGTCCACCAGTCCAACGGACTCCCTGCCCTCAAAAAGAGGGAGTCCACAACAAAATGAGGGAGTCCGCAGTCTGAAGTTAAAAATGAAAGATTTGCTGAAAAAAATACGGCAATTCCGCGAGGCCGTGCTCTGGAATGAACTAGTAAGTATAGCAGAATTTTCAGGGAGTCACACGGACTCCTGCATATGTCAAATCAGGGAGTCCGACAGCAAATCGGGGAGTATTTGACTCCGGGCTCGCCTTTAATTTCGCACCCTGTGCGTTTACGTGTGTTCCAGCGACTGCTTCCCGGCCCGCCGTTTGTCTTTGGTGCTGTGTTGGTCATCCTCGCTCTGCTGGTGACCGCCTTCATCCCCGACGCAGCGCCACCTACCCTCCACGCCGCCAAACTACACCACCGACAGCAGCGCGCCCTGGTGGCCGACTGCGAGAAACTCGACGAGAAACCGCTGCTGAACGAAGAGCCGGCGTGATGACGGCGCCTGTCTAGGACCGGTGTTCGCGCGTCGGAGCCGTCGGCACAGCGACGGCGCGAAAAAGATGGCGGCCGAAGTCTCGACCCCGGGGAGCGATAAGCGTAGAAGTGGCGCCATCTGGTGGGTGCCGCCAATCATTGACATTGGTGCTACTGAGCAGCCGAGTATTGATCGGTTGCTATGGTGATAAAAGCAGCTTCCATGTGGATGGCAGAATGTCGGCGAACGCCGAAGGAAGGGACATGCACATTATAAGGTTATGTTAGCACTGTAAATCTGAATTTCCATGTATCTTGGCATGCAGGGCATAACCCATGAGAATGAAAGAAATTAAGATCAGAATTGCATTCACTTAATCTGAATCTTCTTCCAACGTCTTTGAAAGAACGGTCAATGCATTTGGACGTGTAGTACTATCACTGTGACGGGTGCTACATTCACCTGCTATGTTTGGTCAGCGTGGGTACCGGTGATCGAGGCAGTTACAGGTTACTGTGGTTGCCAGCGATTACCGTGGTTACCGGTGATCGCTGTGGTTACCAGCGATTACCGTGGTTACCGGTGATCGCTGTGTTACCAGCGATTACCGTGGTTGCCAGCGATTACCGTGGTTACCGACTGGTGATCGCTGTGGTTACCAGCGGTTACCGTGGTTACCGGAGATCGCTGTGGTTACCAGCGGTTACCGTGGTTACCCGCAATCATTAATATACCTTGTAGAGATTAACGACATGCTGATGCGATCTGCCTCAAGTGACTATAAATAATGTAAAGTAGTGTGTCACTCTCAAATCATGCTAACGTGTGTGCGTTGATAGGTTACAAACACATCGTGGTGATAATGTCAACGATGGTGTGATGAGTGTTAGCAATGGTGTGACAAGTGTCAACGATGGTGTGGCAAACGTCAGCTATTATGTGACAAGTGTCAACGATTGTGTGATAAATGTCAGTTATGGTGTGACAGGTGTCAGCAATTGTGTGAAAAGGGTTAGCAATTGTGTGGCAAATGTCAGCTATTATGTGACAAGTGTTAAAAATTGTGTGAAAAATGTCATTTTCATTGGGACAAGTGTCAGTAATAGTGTGACAAGTGTCAACGATAGTGTGACATGTGTCAATTACGGTCTGACAAGTTTCAGCAATTCTGTGACAAGAGTCGGTGACAGTGTGACAAATGTCATGGTGCGACAAGTGTTAGTGATTGTGTGACAAGGGCTGGAGATGGTTTACATCACATGTCGGTGACTGTGTAACGTTGTCTGACTACTTGTACCATTGTCGCTCGTGTCATTGTCGCTCGTGTCATTGTCACTCGTGTCATTGTCGCTCCTCGCGTCATCACCGCGTTATTGTCACCGTGTTGCCCATCTAACGCCCGCATTTTTTTTGCTGCAGGTCTGTGTTCATGCATTTGTCACCCATCTATTTGTCACCAATCGATTTGTCACCCATCCATTTGTCACCAACTGATTTGTCCCCCATCGCTTTGTGCGGTTGTTTTTACGAGCTTGCCGAGAGCCCAGGCATGCCTTGCTGTCATGTGAAACGCAGCAGCACACGTGACATATGACTCATGAGTGAGACCACCCATCGTATTAGTCGAGACTAACTAACTTTATGTGCTAAGAGTACTATTTTAATCGTGTGTCGGTCTGTTGGAATAAAGGCGAAACGTACGTGAGGCGTTTCTTGTACAACCGATCAAAATGCAATGCTATGGTTTTTTTGCTTTGTAAATATCATACGTATAAATTTTATTTGTTATATTAAATATATTTGTGTGTGGGAGGGAAGGTGCAGGGGCGTGGAAGGGGAGGCGGGAAGGTAAGCACGTGTGAGGGGAGGCGGGAAGGTAAGCACGTGTGAGGGAGGCGGTCGGGAAGAGAGGGGGTAGGGGGGAGGGCATATAATTATAACAGTCAACGAACAGAGTCCGTAACTCACCGGGCTGGGCCGGCGTTTATTCACCTGTCACCGCCCTCCAAACACACTGCAGTAGCTATACTACCAGTGTTATCGGACAAATACAATCCAATTGAGTAACAGCTCATAGTACAGGTATACAGAAGATGTTATAAGGGGTTGTACTGTATTGGTAATACGAGCTCAAGGAAAGTTCCCGAATATGCGTATGCAAATCTGCCATGTTACATGTATGCCGCTACCGAGCGGACGTCCTCTTCTTCTTATAATGTAATATATGTCTATATAGTGCGTAATACGTGGATGGGGACATATATCCTGCTACTGGGATAGATACGGGCTCGCTCTTCCAATCCCGCCCGGCTATCTATTGTCTATTGTAGGCATATGTTTCACAAATATGAGGTATGCGTCACTGTTCCTCGATCAAACATTTGTGAGGAAGAGCAAGAGCGGATTGGGCGTGATGGGGTGGTTGGCTATAGCCACCCCCATTTGTATTGCAAAAATAATAGCACTCATCGAACTGAAATGAATTAAATAGAGAAATGTGTGAACAAATAAATTTCTCGTATAGGCCTACAGCTAAAACAATCTATGGAAGATGCGTTATACGGGGCGAAATGTATACACTTGCGAATTGCCATTGAGAAAGAGCCCGCGATATCTGAAACAGTAGCGGACCATTGAATGCCAAGCCTCGATTTCGTGACCATTTCCGCTACTACTTTTATTTGCAACACGGAAACATATTGTAGCGTCATGTAACTGTGGCGATATGGATATGCGGTATCTCGGGAGTGAGAGTCTAGACACTCACTCTCGCGTGTCCTCTTCGCATCCACCA